TATGCTATTCACACAAGCCTCATTCATACTAATGTGCTCATATGAAGACATCCTCAGACTGCAGTCAAGTCCCCCGGGCCGCTCTTCAGTCAAGCCCGCCGGCTGTTCCGAAGTCAAGCCTGCCGGCCGCTCAACAGTCAAGCCCTCCAGGCCGCTCCTCAGTCAAGCCCGCCGTTCCGAAGTCAGGAGAATATTACCATTTTTGACATTTCTGACATTGGTAAGCAACAGTGCTAGCCCTGCAACATCAGTTGTCTCATCAAGCTGTAGTCTTGTGTTCTTGGAGAAAATGCCACTGATACAATTGTACTACAGTATAAACGGGAAATATCTGCTAGCTATAGTTAAGAAACACCTATTCTTCCACATATTTAAACCTAGTGATTGAGTGAAAGTGAATGTCAAACCTCAGTATGTTCAGTCGACAGTGTGAACTCTTCAGTCCATCAGAGAGCAGCTTCACTCCTGAATCCTGCAGGTCATTGTTACTCAGGTCCAGCTCTCTCAGATGAGAGTTTGATGATTGTAGAGCAGAAGACACAGTTTCACAGCATGCTTCATCAAGACCACAGCCGTCAAATCTGACAAAACAGAATGTTTAACCAGATTATTTTCTGATGTTCAGTGTTTCTGCAATAATTTATTATGCCCTTCATAATCCAGACAGTGTGAAAGTATTTTACATAGTATTTTAACATTTAATTGTTTAGTGATGTAGAACAAAACATTTAATTAAACCACAGTCAGTGAAATTACTCACAAGGCTTTTATGCAGCCTCTCACAGCTGGAACGAGTCTCTTGTAGTTTGAAGGTGACGTGAACCTCTTTGGGTTGAACTCATCCAGCACCTTCTCTGACATCAGCAGTATGTAGGTCAGCACTGTGCACATTGAAGATGAGAGGTCTCTTCCTGGATGTGCATCTGAACGGAGGTAACTCTGGATTTTCTCATATAATGAATTATCTTTCAGCTCAAGTAAGCAGTAAAAAAGATTGACTAAGGCTTCATCTGAGATACCATATTTATTTTGATCTCGTTTAATGTATTCAGTTGTTTGTCTGATGCTCTCTGTGGTGTCTTCAGTGTGTGTAATCAGGCCTTGGAGCAGTTTCTGACTGGATTCCAGTGAAATGCCCATCAGAAACCGCAGGAACAGATCCAGATGTCCTCTCTGACTCCACCTGGCTTTATCAACAGCCTTCTGCAGTAGCTCATGCAATGTGATATTTTCCTTGGGCTTATCAAAGAAAAACTGAAGCTCCTGCATGTTCTTGTTCAGGTAGCAGATGAACACATGCACTGCAGCAAGAAACTCTTGAACACTCAGATGCACAAAGCAGAAGACCTTTGTCTTATAAAGTCCATCTTCCATCTTAAAGATCTCAGCGATCATTCCTGTGAACTCAGTGTCTTTACTCACATCAATACCACATTCTTTCAGATCCTTCTCATAGAACACAATGTTTTCCTTCTTCAGCTGTTCAAACGCTAGCTTGGCTAACTTCAAAATCATCTTTCTATTTAATTGTAAGTGTTCTGTACGTTCTGTTTCTTCTTGTTCATCGTACTTTTGGTTCTTTATGTCCATTTGTATCAGCAGGAAGTGAATGTACATTTCAGTGAGTGTAGTGGTGATGTTCTCTGCATTGTTCTCAATGAGAATATCCTGAAGTACTGTGACTGCGATCCAGCAGAACACAGGAATGTGGCACATGATGTAGAGACTACGAGACGTCTTAATGTGTGAGATGATTCTGGAGGCTTGAGTCTCATCTGTGATTCTCTTTCTGAAGTACTGCTCCTTCTGTTGGTCGGTGAATCCTCGCACTTCTGTGAACAAACCCACACACCGAGGAGGGATCTGAGTGGCTGCTGCTGGTCGTGATGTCACCCAGACAAGAGCTGATGGAAGCAGCTTACCTTTGACCAGACTTGTGAACAGCACATCTACAGATGCTCTTTCCTCAACAGTGTCCACTGTTTCACTTTTAAAGTTCAATGGAAGTCGACTCTCATCAAGTCCATCAACTATAAACGCTAGCTTACATTCCTTATATAACTTTGCATTCTCCAGGTTCTTCAATTCAGGATAAAATTTCAGCAGAAACTCATGGAGATTGACCTCTTTATCTTTAATCATGTTGATCTCTCTGAATGGAAGCAGGAACACACAGTCTATATCCTGATTGGTGTTTCCTTCTGCCCAGTCCAGGATGAACTTCTGCACAGAGACAGTTTTTCCGATGCCAGCGACTCCCTTGGTCAGCACAATCTTCTCCTCGTAGTTTTTCCTCAGTTCAGTAAATATATCATTGCATTTGATTGGTTTATCCTGTGTTTTTTTGTTCCTGAAAGCATTATCAATCTTCAGAATCTCATGTTCGTGATTGACATCTTTCATATCTCCCTCTGTGATGAACAGCTCTGTGTAAACAGTCTTGAGATCTGTGTCGTTTTCGTTGTTGCCCTCAAAAATACATTTAGCTTTCTTCTTCATATGGTTTTTGTGAGTTTTCAAGAAGTTTTGCAGCTCTATAATTAAAAACAAATAAATAAGATGGACCAAAAAAAGCATTAAACAAACTTGACAAATATTTTTTCATATCAGCATTATCATCATTATTAACGGATGCAGACAGATTAAATTCATACAGCTGAAAACAGCAGAGACCATCCATCCCTAAGAGCTTGGTTTTAATTTTAACATTTCTGAATATGTTTTTATGTTCTTTCCAGATCACAATCATTGGATTGATTCAGATCATCTTTAGGACATACTGACTAATACTGATAAATGGTTTCCACATCATCTAGCACATCAAACAGTTTGTGAGACTGTATTTACAACATCTTTTGACCTGCTTAAATCAACCTTTGCATGTGTGATTGTAATCATGCCTTCATGACACCGAATGAATTTGGTGACGTTGCCACCTATTGTTTAACTTTACTAAACAATTGTATTACATTATACAATGTTTAATTAAGGCTTTTAGTCCATTGTAGACTGGGAATCACTGGAGACATGCTGTTCTATTCGATATATTTTTATAAGATCTGCCGCTATTGCCTTCAGCCTGAGCTGTGAGAGAGAGAGAAAAATACTCACTGAGAAACATAAATCACACAATCACATCACCAATTTTGTCAAAAGGAAAAGGAAAGTTTGTCAAACCATCACACCGCTAAACAGTCAATCATGCTAGTCACAGTGAATTAAACATTACCTTTCTTGTGTTCATTCTCCAACTGTTTAACCAAATCATTCTGGTTCATCTTCCTCAGGATGTCCTCCATTATCTTCACAGCTTCTTCTGGTCCAAAACATGCCACCATCTTTTCCACTGTGTCGAA